CGGCCCCAATGGTAAGGACGGAGGGAAGCCCCACTGCCGGGGGGTGCAGAGGTGATGCTCGGCTGCCCTGGAGAGGCGTCAAGGTTATTTATCCCTCAAAGGAGCCACCCCTGGGGTGAGGGTCGGAGTGGGGCTGAGCGAGTGCCCGGACCTGGCCCCTCTGCCTGTGGGCACTGCTGCCCCCCCATGCAACGTGTTTGGGGCCTCAGCCTGCTTCGCCTTCTCAGGGCCACTCATGTCCCTGTGCCCCAAAGGTCCCCGTCCGCTGGGGAGCCTCCAGGTGCTGGAGGGTGGGGATGGCCCCGATCCCTCTCCTGGGGTGCAAGGCCCATTGGGCACGGGAGGTGCATCTGAAAACACGCTGGTTTTCTTTTCCTCCCCTTAAGCCAGCTCCTTGCCAGATGATTCAAGAGCAAAACTATCTTGGCTGCTCTGTGTGAGCATCTTGGCACTGTCCGCAGGAGCCTTGTGACCATGCTCCCTGCGGGGACGGCAGGGACGGCATGCTGGGGGGCAGTGGGTGACGCGGGGGTGCAGACATGAAGTGCAAGGGTGATGTATGATGCCATCTGCAGGCTTTGGCTCCCGCTCGACGAAGCACAAAGGTGTTGGGGCCATCGGCTCCCATGCGGTGTGGGGTCATCTGGAGCTGCTGCCGTGGGTGCTGCTGGGTCCCCGCTGTGGGTGCCACCAGGCTCGCAGGAGGTGGCATGCAGCCCGCAGATGGGCTCCTCGTCCCAGCCCTGCTTGCAGCCTGCGTCGGGGCGCTGGAAACACCCCATCCTGTCTTACCCCCCTGGTACCCCCAGGTCTGGGGGCGAGGAGGGCTCTCGCGGAGCAGCACCTTTCCTCTCCTGGCGCTGATAACCGGGTCCGGGCCGGGCTCTGAGCATGTGCTGGGGTTTGCGGTGCCAGTGCTGCGGCTGGGCTGGCCGGCTCCTGGCTCCAGCTCCGGTTTCCCTGACCGTGGCGAAACGCTCAGTGCTTTTCTGCTTCTCTTCTCTGCGGCGCGGGCAGGAGCGTGGCGCGGAACGGAGCCTGCCACGGTT